GCGTGAACCCCATTTGCAACGTAGCGCCTAAGAACGTTCCCCGGTGTTCTGTAGATGTGTCCTCCCACCAAGCTCGGCTGTGAGCGGGCCGCCCACGCAGCGCCGCTCCTAACAGAAATGGATGTCGATGCTTTCAGTTCACCTTGAGGAAAAAGCATGCAAAAAAGGAAAAATCCCTGTTAAACATGTTCTAGAGCTAATTTACGTAGGTCGTTGCTCACCACTTGACCGAATGCCACCTTATAGGAATCCGGCGGAGAGTGTTGCCTCTGCCTTCCGCGTGGGGAGTCATCATTTTCTTTCCTACACAATTGACCCACCCCACCCCCCGCTGACGCTGAATCGCGAGGCGGAAGGCATTTTCCACTCTGCTGGGCTTGCTGGGAAGGTTAGAGACACATTCGTGGCCCGATCCAGGCAAGCACGCAAGATCTTTGAGCGTGAATTGGGCTATATTTTCTCCTGCTTCTGTTTTCTTGGGTTTTTTTATTTTTTATTTTTCAACGGGATCTATGGCTTAGATATTTTAAATTTTAATACACTACGTATTTCACAGGTCACTGTTAATTTTTTTTTTCCCCCCGAACAAGATAGTCAATTAATCTGTGTTTGAAAAACAGACCCTGGGCTCGTCAAGCTGGTCTGTTTCGGCATCCAGGCCAGGACCGACGCCCTCTGGCCCCTGACCTGCTGTGCTCTTCCAGGGGCACCCGGCTGCCCCGCGGCCAGCGTTCCAGGGCTGGAGAGCAGGTTTCTTGTCGGTGGCTCTGTCCTTTCCATGACAATGTGCAGCATGAGGACTTAATTATAATTCCTGCCAAGAAGAGGCAAGAGGGGCAGTGGCACAGGTCTGTGCAGTAGCACGACACTGCAGAGAGAGAGGGACAAAGGGTCATCCTCTGCTCCCCGATAATCACATCATGCCTCTCTGGGGATGCAGGGGCCACGCCCAGGGCAGGATGGGCCTTTGGCAAGAAAAAGCCGGACCCCGAGCTATGGCTCCGTCAGTATCCTCTTTGCATTTTGAATTTCCTCTTTAGAATTCATTCCAGTCTGCACGTTTCTCTTCCTGAAAATGCATGTTGCTCCACCAGAGAGTTCTGATGGAAGAGTGGAGGAGATGCCCTCGGACAGCGGCGCTGTGCACGGAAGGCGCGGACGCCCTGGTTATTAATGCAGCGTCGCAGCCGGCCGTCAACAGTCAGCATACGAATTGAGCTTCTGCAGGAGGCCTATTACAGCTGAGTCCTGTGATTTCTTTTGAGCATCTCAACCCTTCTCTCCAGTAGCCAATGGAAAGATGTATCTGTTCAGATGCTTTCAGTTCCAAGTGACAGCAGCGTAAGTCCATGAGCACGGTCGCTGCGGTCACTGTGAGCATAAAGTTCCAGGATGGACTCTTCTGCTCAGGCTGTGGCCAGCACCTCTACCAGGGCCTCCTGCGTTTAGCCCTCAGTCCTGCTGGGCGCTGTGCAGCTTCACCCCGCAGACGGGTCCTGTCCCTACAGACGGACCTGTCCCCTACAGACAGCCTCTTGGTCACGGCTTCTAGCCCAGCAAATCTAGAAGAGGAGGCTCTCTCTCAGCATGCCCATACAGAGCACCAGTGGCCGGGGAGGCGTGTGGACTTCACAGCCCAGGGCCATGTTTGTGCGTGTGTTGTGGGGGGGGTGGCGCAGGACTCAGCAGCGAGGAGGGCAGAGCCCAGAGGAATCAGACATGGGGAACGGAGGGCATGGGGACAGGGCTTTCTACAAGCAGGTGACACTGTTCGTGAACGCTTCTTGAGCAGAGACAAAACTCACTTCCTCCTATGAGGCTGGTTTGACCTTGATACCAGGACAGGCATCGGGTAATAGGATGGTGGCGGATAGGAAAGTGTGGCACATTCAATACAAAAATTCTAAAGGAAACATTGGCAACCTGAATCTCACTACAAATATATAAAGATACACATATGTATGTACACAAATACACACGTCTATGCGATTGTGTGTGTTTGTATATCAGGTAGCGTTTGGTCTAGAAATGCAGACAGTTTAACGTTTAAAAACAAACAAAAAAAAAACACCAGTGCGCACACACTCAGTAAAATTCCCAGGGGTGTGAAAGCAGCTTTCTTAACTGGATGAGTGAATTCACCGACTCTACAGTCAACCAAGGGTTTAATGGCGAAACGCTTTAATGAAGTCCAGAATGAGGCAAAAATGCTCACCACCCCCGCCTTTATAGTTGACGTTTCGCTGGAGGCCCTGGATAGTGAAACAAAACAAAGAATAAGAGGCATATGGACGGGGAGAATGGTGCCAGGGCAGCTGTTTGGTGGGAGGTACGGTCGCCTTCGCAGAAGGCGCACACCCGGGGCCCCGGAGGAAAGGCGTGAGAACTGAGAGCTAAGAGGCCAGCTGCGTTTCTAGGGTCAAGATGAGCGTCCACAGTTCGGGAGGGCACGTCTCCCCTAGCAAGGGCCAGTTGGCCGACCTTGTTTTAAAAGATCGTGTTCACAGCAGCAGTAAAACCTATTTAAAATAGCAGAATAAAAATACATCTGTGCCAGACCTTCACAGAGAAAAATGGAAAACTCCATTACCAGACCCAAAAGAAGGCCAGAGTAAGTTATTTCCCGTTCATGGAAAGGTTGGAAAGGTTTGGTGAGGTTAATTCTCCTTAATGTGTAAAGTCAACATAATTCCAGCAAAAGTTGAAGGGGGGTTTCTCAAGAAACAAGATACATTAATTCTAAAATTTGCAGGGAAGAGAAAACACTAACCCCCACCATGGCCCCGACCACACACACAGGAGGTTGAGGAGGCCTTTCAAGGCCTTTGCTCAGTTAACTGCTCCGGGCTTGTGTGTCCACAGCCTCCTTGTTTGATTTTCTCTCGGTCCACGTGGCCCAGATACATTCCCTGGACAGCCAGCCAGGACTCACAGTGTCTGGCGAAGGTCAGGGTCCCCAGCCCGTGAGCCGACGTCTAGCGGGGGCTCTGCAGAGCAGGGCCAGCTTTATGGTTTAATCATGTCGCTGACATTCAGCCACTCCAGCGATGCATCCAGTGAGGCAGCGACCACGTGCCGGACTGAGCCCTGGCTTGTCCTGCAACAGATGGGAAGTCCAGCTGGTGCCCTGCAGGCAGCCCTGGACTGCGCGGCAAGCCCCTGACCCTCCGGTCCCTGCCTGGGCGGGCAGCCAGGCCACCAGCCCTGAAGCGGGGCCAAACCGGAGGGACGAAGCTGCTCCGTCACCGCCCTGTGATCGTCAGTGGCTAAGATGCTGGAAATGGGGGAATGGGAGGTGCCACGGCCCTGCAGAGTCCTGGACCCCCAGCGCCAGAGGGTTCATGCAGTCCCCGTATCTGAGTCACAGTCCCCGTGAGCTCCAGACCCAGGGTACCCCTCCTCTGCAAAGACCCTCCCGCCACCCTGCCTCTGGAGAGCTGACCGCTCCGTCCACACGCCCGCTGTGCCCCGGAGCACCTCCTGGTGTGCCTGTCCCCTGCCCGGCCAGCACGGGGCCCCAGTCCCCCCAACGGCACTGTGTGCTCCTTCACAGCGAGGGCAGCCTCTTTGTCCCGGTGTTCTCAGCACGCAGCCCAGCGCCTGTCCCAGGGCAGGTGTCCCTGAAACACCCACTAAAGGAACGGCCAGGCCGCACAACACGGGGCCCCGGTCCTCCTGGCCTGGACTCCGACTGGTGTGGGCAGCGGGTGAGACACACGGGACCTGCGACGTCGCGGCCACAGTGCCCCGTCCCTGGCCCTCGGTCTCCGTGACGCGGGGCCAGCGGGGCTGGGTGGCCTGTCAGGGCTGTCCTGGCCCTGGAATCCCCCACCCTGTGAGCACATGGCCGCTGCCCGCTGTGGGCAAATTAAGCGCCAGCCCCCCCACCCCGGTGGGGCTGCACCCCCAGGGTACAGGAGCACCGTGTGCGCGCGTCCCAGCCTGTCCCTGTAAGAGCGCTGGGGAGGGTTGGCGATCGGGGTTCTTGTCCCTACCCTGTCCCTGGCTCGCTAAGTTCCTCCTCCCCTCTGGGCCTCAGTTTCCTCTTCTGTCAAAAGAGGAGAAAGGCCTGGCTGACCCCGGTCTAACCCTCGAGGACCCAAGGCACAGGTGTCGTGTGCGGCGCTGTGACTACCTCTGCCGATACCCTCACCGCATTCCACGACTCCTCGTGGGACGTGACACTGTTTTATGCCATTGTGGTCCTGCTTTATAATTGTTTAACACTGTTCTCCAGTTCCGTATGTTGGCTCTTCAGTCTTTAAAAAGCCTAAATGTATTTTTTTTTAATAATGAATTCAGTACCGTGTCATTTTCCTATTGTTTGGGGGGATAGGCTTAATGAATGGCTTAAAGAACAACCATTTTGTTATCTCCCGTTCTGTGGGTTGACTGGGCTCCGCTGGGGTGGTCCTGCTCCATGTGACATTGGTGGGGGCTGCCATGAGACATCCAGGTGCCCAGATGGCTTGCTCCGCAGCCCCCTGGGGACGCTGCCTGTCACTGGCTGCTCATCTGAGGCTGTTGTTGACCCGAGCGCCTTCGCTGTCCTCCTCATGGCTTCTTCCTAGAGCTCGGGCTCTGGCTGGTTTCCAAGAGGCAGGAAGTAGGAACTATGGATTTCCTGGGGCCTGTCCTTGGACTTGGCAGAGCATCGCCAGACCCAAGGGTTGCAGATACAACCCCCCCCCCGCATTGTTGGGGAGCAGCATGTGTGGGGGGAGCGGAGGAACTGTCAGGGAGGCGGACGCATCTTTGGAGACAGGCCACTGTGAGTCCTGAAAACACTGGACGCAGGCACCTGCCCTAGCAAAGGAGTGCGTTGGAGCCTAGCAGTGGCTGAAATGCCGTTTGTCTGCCAGAGCCAGGGGGCCAGGGCTCTGCCAACCGTACACTGTCACTCGGGCCTTGGGGTGAGTGTCTGTAAATTGGGAAGGTTGGTCTTGAGGACGCTGGGGTCCCCTCTGTCCCTAAGGAACTCTGTCCCTCTGTGCTCCTAGGTACTCCTTCCAGGATGAGGAGGACATGTTCATGGTGGTGGACCTGCTGCTGGGCGGGGACCTGCGCTACCACCTGCAGCAGAACGTGCACTTCACGGAGGGCACCGTGAAGCTCTACATCTGCGAGCTGGCGCTGGCGCTGGAGTACCTGCAGCGGCGCCACATCATCCACAGGTAGGCAGGCTGCCGGGGGCGGGGCGGGGGCGTGTGGGCCCTGGAAACCGCAGAGCGCGGGAAACCGCAGAGCGCGGAGACCCCGAGCACAGCGCGGCCCTGGCCATGCAGCCCTGCCCACAGCCTGCTGGCGCGTGACCGGTCTTGGAGGCGGACCCTCCCGCCGCCTGGGCGCGGCCTTCTCGCTCTTCCCACTGCCTGCAGACCTGGCTCGTGGCTGGACTCAGCTTCCCCATTCCAGCGTCTTTGGGAGGCTGGAATGGCCAGTGCCAGGGCAGGGCGGTCACGTGCTGTGAGGTAGCAGGGGATTCGGTTCTGCCCCTTTCCGCACCTGAGAGCCACCGGTGTGCGCTGCAGAGGGTTTCTTCTTCTTCGGAAGCTCCCGTGCCGGCCGGGGCTCTGGCTGCCCGCTGAGGGTCCGCCGCCTCCCCGGGCCCTGGCTTCTCCCCGCCTGTGCGCTGCTCCGCTGCCGCAGCCGCTGCCACCGGGTGCAATCCCGTGAGCCAGGCGAGGCCGATTTGACTGAGGCAAGAGGTCGGCGGAGGCCTCGGGGTGCCCTGGTGTCATTAACGCAGTCTCCTCCCTGACCACACGGGAGGGGGTGGGAGTGAGTGGCCCCAAATCTGCTCACTACAGCCTTGTGCTGTGCCTGGCCGATTGCCTGACTTACCTAGGTTTGGGAGACTTGAGAGAGACCAAGACTTGAGCTTCTAATGAAGGCGATAGATTTAAGCACAGACTTACACGTTTTCTTTTTTCTAAACCCCCCATAAAATGGCAGTAAGGTATGTTTGAAAAGTGATACATTCACAGGGTTGGGGACGAGTAAAGAGGAGACGGTAGGAAAGCATCAGGAGTTTGCAGAGAAGGTATGGAGTGGCAGGGGACTAAGGACACCAGAACCGGAACCTGAGGTTGCCACTGGGAAGAAGCAAGAACTGAGAGGCCCTAAGGGGTCCTCCGAAGGCTGGGGGACTGACAGCAGGAGAGGGGGCGGAGCTATGGAAAGAGGCGAAAACCGGGAAACTTGTTTGAAAGCTTTTCTTCAAAGAATGATTTTATGTGTGAACCCTGAATATGTGATGTTTAAAAAGTCGCCGTGTTCGCGTAACTTGCCTTGGGATACTTGAGGTGCCTATCGCGAAAAAGACAACCGGCAACCGCTTCCTCATGTCACATTTTGGGGGCCCCTGCCCGCACCTCTTCGCCCTTCCCTAGTTTCCACGGATTCCACGCTCTGCGGTCTTCCCCTGGGTGTGCTAACGCCTCCCCACCTGAACACAGCCCACCGCGTCCTCGCCTGCTTTCCCGCCTCCGCCCATCACGGGACGTCCGTAACCAGCTGACTCCCTGGCGGATGGCTTCCTTCCCTTTCTCGTTCCTGGCAGGGGCGGGTGGGCCTTTGCCCCACGGGCCGGTGCCCCGGGGTAGCTGTTGGATCGTGCGTGCTGCACCGCTGTAGCCGCTCAGCTGCCGCCCCAGCCCTCCGCGGCCACCGAGTCAAGCCTTGCCGCCCCAGCCCGCCGTCGCCGCGTGGCCGCGTTGCGTCGCTTGCACAGCATAATCATCAGCCCCCACCCCCACCCCCGTCCTTTGGAGAAAGAAGTGGGTGAAGGAATCTTCTACCTACTACACTTGCTCCTTTGGTATAGGGAGAGAGCAACCATATGACAAAAGCAATGCTAAGTTCATAGAAGAGGGGAACCAAGCAACTGTTTGACCTGCTACTGTTTCAACTGCCATATGGAGAGCAGACAGTCCAGTATGTCCTCCAACAAATGTATTTCTTCGCGGTTTTTGTTTTCACTGCTTCGTGGGAATAACATGCAAGACACAGCATTCCGAACACCAGCCAGCCTCAACGTGGCCTTCTTTACATCCTTACTTAGGGGACTTCTGTTAAGCAAGATTACAGGTGGTTTGGTTTAGTTGGAAATTTGATGCGGTTGGTGAGAGGTCCCGAATACCGCGTTTACCTGCACCGTCACCTTCACCGGAAGCCTGGACACTTTTTTAAAAGTATTGAAAACCCCAGCCCTGACTGGTGTGGCTCAGTGGGTTTGGTGTCATTCCGCAAAGCAAAAGGTCGCTGGTTCAGTCCCTGGTCCGGGCACAGGCCTGGGCTGCAGGTTCAGTCCCCGGAAGGGGCACTTACGAGAGTCAACAGATCTGCGCTTCTCTCCCTCTCTCCCACCCTCCTTCTCCCCGTCTCTGAAAATAAAATAAAAAGAAGTATTGAAAACCTCAGGTCTGCCAGCCATTCTGAATAACGGATGGCGGTCCCTTCCTCTGTCCCAAGCAGAGGACTGAAGGTTTGTTTCCTAAAGAGAGTAAAATAGAGGTATCTGGGCTGCAGGACGCAGAGCCACTTCGGCTGAGGGACTGCAGTTGTAAAGCACAAGTCTAACTGGCGTAAATAGGACAGATGCTGCAGTAACACAGCCTCCCCCTGTGCCGGCCGGGCTGGGGACGGTGCCTCCAGGCTGTCCTCCTCCCAGCAGGGACCTCCAGTGATTTCAGCGTGACTGTGAATGAGCCAAGAGGACAGACATTGTGACATCACGGTGTCCCCATGACCCTTAGAACGTAGATCACAGCCAGCAAGCCCCCACATTCCCCATAAGCTCCCAGCTGGGTTAGCAACCGCTAAGGGCTATCAGACACCCAGGGACATCCAACGCGGACACCGAGACCCAGAACAAGCAAGTGGACAACGAAGAAAAGCTTGGAATACACAGAGATGCTGCAGGGAGAAAAAGACCAAAATAACTAGGATCAGTATTATTCAGAGGGATGAAGAAGGTTTCTTGCATTTGTAAAACAAGAAATACCATATTTCTTTAACAATTCAGAGGACAAAAATCAAGAACACTTATGAATTAACAATACGGAAGCAGAAATGAAACTTCCAGAAGATGTGTTGGAAGATAAAGCTGAGGATGGCCCTTGTTCAGTAGAACAGAAAGAAAAATAGAAAATTTAAGCAAATTAGAGGACCAGCTCCGTCATTTCAACATCAGGAAAGAGAGAGAGAGAGAGAGAGAGAGAACCCAGGGGAAGTAATCATAAATGAAAAAATTGAAGAAAATCTAATGGATCAGAAATGCTTGGGCTTCCAGGCCGAAGGGCTTACCAAGGAGAGAGGGCAGTGGCTGGAGGCAGACCCCACTGGGCAAACTTCAGGTCCACTCAGCGTCTACAGGACCACAGGTCATGGAGGCCGAGGGGTCAGAACAGTCTGGGATTTATCAGACGCTCGAAAGCGGTGGGGACGTGCTAACCAATCAGGTGTGAGGGTACACGTTTTCACAAGCACAAGGTCTCAAAAAATGGACCTTCTCCCCACACCTGTCTCTAGTCATTTTCAGAAAACAAGATGGACACCCCCAAAAGTAAGGAGTAAGCCCAGGAGGAGGCGGAAGTGGAACGCAGGCAGCTGGACCTTGGTGGGGCGGAGGTAAAGCCGGCCCCAAGCTGACGGTGCAGGGAGCCCGCGCGTGACTTGGGTCCTGAGCTGAGCAGGACCCCGGGGGGAAACTGCTTTGGGTGGAGAGAGCCAGCTGATGGATTTCCTGATGCCCCGGCTGTCCTGAGGGGAGATTTAATTAGCTGGTCAAGAATCTGAAGTTGAATAAGTGAGAAGTTCAGAAAGAAAACTCCACAGGTTCCTATTCATTCAGTTAGTGTATAATTGGCACCTGCTGTGTGCCAGACAGCACGGTAGAAACGATGATGCACAAATACATGGCCCCTTTCTTCAAAACCCCGATGCCCCATCGGTATGCGTCAAGCGCCTGCTATGGGCCAGCCGCGGGCCCCACCGCCAGCCTCGGGGGACAGGCGCGTACAGACCATCTGAGCCGCTACACGCGTGAGGGCAGAGCGTGTTCAAAGTGCGCGGGGACACAGAGGAGCTCGCGGGGCGGGGGGGAAACGTGCCTTCGGATCCAGCCAGGCTTTGGGGAGGTTGTGGCCTCTGGGTGGCTTTGCTTTGGGGGGAAAGCGGGTATTTCCTGAGACAAGTCATTCTAGAAACGTGTTCTCTGGGCAGTGTGGATGTGTTGCTGCTGGTGGCAGTTGTTACAACTGTCTTGGAAAGGTATTTGGCAATAGAGTCAAGTGCTTTTTAAATGTTCACACACTTTGACCCACTGCCGTGTTTTGCCGTGTATAATGCGCACTTTTTGCCCAAATTTTTGAGGGAAAAGTAAAGGTGTGCGTTATGCATGGGTATAGTGATTACATACCATGGGTATAATAATGGGTCCCCTGTGTAATGCGCGCAAAGCGTGTGTGTGCATCATACACCGCAAAATGCGGTAACTTCACCCCCTGGAAGGTGCCAGGCCCAGCCGCCGGCAGGCCGGCTCTGCCGAGGCTGGTGATCCCAGCGGGGCTGTGGTCCCCCAGAGTTTCACAAGAACCTGGAGGAAAGGAAACTGTACACCTCCCTCTAACAGACTTGAGACGCTGCCAACGCCCACATGTAATGCTGACTCTAAAACCCGGCGATAGGGAGGGGCTATTTTTGTGATCTTGAGCAAAAATGATGGCTTATAAAATTTCATGACTATGCAAAGAAACGTCTGATAATTAAACAAAAAAAAGGCTCCCAATTAGTTTCCTAATGAGCTGGGGTCAAAGGGAGAATCCATGCAATTTCTCTTTCTTCCCTTTTGCTATTTTGAAGGTTTCTTTAATGAATACGTGACCCTTTCAATGAGGAAAATCAAAGCATGATTAACTTTCTCCATGAAAGAAGGGTGCTTATCACGCAAGGACTTCATTTCTTTATCTTTTATGACAGTCATGTTTTATTTATGTATATATCAAGTATCATATATATCGCTACATACAGTTGCAGATTTTTATAGTGTGCCTTTTTAATACTGATTAAAATTATCTTACGTTTCTCCTGATATATTTTTTCCTAGATCCTTTTTGAAAACTCCTTAATTGGGGTGGGGGGAAGTGTCTTAGAAAAGCAAATCCATATGATT